ATAATCATATAAAGTAAAAATTTGAAACAAGACAAACAAGTAGTAAATATACACAGCTAATATATACATGTCAAGCAAGTCCAGCAAGTCAGCAACAAGTTCATAAAAAAAAAAAGGCATAAATTGCCATATAAGTCCAACAAATCCAGCAAAAGGTTCATAAAAAAAAAAAAAAGCATAAACTGTAACTGTCATCAGCAAAGTTCAAAGAAAAAAAATACATAAATTGTTGCTACACATGTCCAGCAATAAGTTCATTAAGAAAAACAGCATAAAAGAAATGAGTTACTAGTGACTGGTTGAGAGATTAGAGAAGAGCTATCAAGTCGAGTGTGAGTGAGAGATGGGAGAAGATCAGCGTTGCAGTGGCTACACAATGGGTAGTGACGATGAAAGCTTGAAGAGAATCACAGATGAGGATTGAGGAGTAGAAACAAAGTTATAACGTACAACCACAGAAGAGAGTGAAGAAGAGGAATCACAAATTTGAAATTGAAATCTTTAGATAGTCCTTCTAGGGTTACCAATGCAAATTGGGTTGGACAATTAAGTTTAGGAAGACTAGATTGACAAAAAGAATAGGCTAGACTTGACAATTGGGTTTGAGAAAATTAAAAAAAGAATGGATTGTGAAATTTAGGTTGTACTGGTATTGGATTAGCTAATTAGGTTGAGTAAGTAAAAATTAATTGTTAATATATTTATAAATATATATATAAATTTATGATTTTTTTTATTTTATATAGATTCCCACGATTTTTCACGGGGTAAAGAAAATTTTTCACGAAATTTCATGGAAAAAAAAATACCTCTATCCTCACTCAACAAAAAAAAAATATTCTTAAAATGTTTATTCCCATTACCAGAATCTCTGTAAACCCTCGTGGGTCACTAAGGAAATTGCCATCCTTAAATACGATAGGTCCTCGGTCCACAAAGGAAAAAAATAACGAAGGTCTACCTCATTAAAAAAAAATCCAAACAAAAGTTAAAATGGTAATAGTGACACTGCAAACTGGGGGAACACGTTAGAAACACGTTGGAAACACTAACATACACGAGCTGAAAGAGCGCGTGCATAGGCAGAGCAGCCAACCAGGACGCTTGGGAACGTGAAGGTCAAATTGCCGATATTGATAGCAATGACTTATTGGTTTAAAATAAAAAAAGTTTGATTTCTTCTGAATAGGATTTTGAGATCGAATCTGATAAATAAAAAATATAAACATTAAGAGAATTGTCTTTAATGGAGTTCGATGCAGTTTTATTACAAGTTAATCAAATTTAATATAATTATCATATATCAAAAAATTAATATAAAAAAAGTGCTGACATTGATGTAGCAGGAGGTCCGTTGGCAACTGCTTTTCGGCGGAGAATTGTCAGTGATAGGACTTTTACTACCTTCGTTCTGTGCCGTTTGATTATAATTAAATTGTGACTCACGTGAGGGCGGTTGAACAGATGGACGGTGATCAAGGAACCTAAGCGTATGGGTTGGTTCCGAAGGTGAGTTGGAGCGGGTCCCACACCCATCTAAGATGGGATGGGCCCGAATGATCGAGGGGAGCAGTTGGTCGTTACCATAGCAGGTGAAAGGTTTTGACTTTTTAAAATAAGGATTTATTATTACCAATGTTCTATAAATTTAA